TATTACAATTATTATAAATTTAAATTATAAAACTTATAAAACTTATATTTCTTAATTCCTACTGATAAAAAATATGTTAATATATATTAATACAAATATGTTATTTACTAATTATGATACTTCTTATACATATTACAATTATTATAAATTTAAATCTATATTTTTATAAAACTTATATTTCTTAATTCCTACTGATAAAAAATATGTTAATATATATTAATACAAATATGTTATTTACTAATTATTTTATGTTGGATACTTCTTCACTTATTAATATGTAATTTATATTTGATTATGCATATACACGAATAAAAAACCGGCTGATAAGAGCCAGGCACGGAAAATGCAAAGTGCAAAAATAATTGTCTTCAAAAGAAATTAATTAAATAATTGATAATTAAAAATAATTGATAATCAATTAATGATTAATAATAAACCATTGAATTAAAAACAAATTAAAATTATCAAAATTAATACTATTAATAAATGTAGTATTATTGAGTTATTTATTTAGCATTAAATTGATGATGCATAAGAAAATCAAATAAAATAAATTGTAAACGCGGTTTCAACAATAAAATCCTCGTAGTCTTCGATAATCCATCATAACGCTTTCCGAAAACTTATCTGGAGCTTTAGAGCTCCTTGAGAAACAGTCCGAATTTTATTAATTATAAAATTCAAAGATGGGATTCAAATTCAAAATTCTGAAAATGGGATGTTAAATTTATTCGTAAATGTATCTGAATTACATTTCCAAACGAAACTATATATAAAAAAATCTATCCTAATTAGATCTCCTACATTTAAATCTCCAGACATTTAAAATTAATGTGACATTAAAAAATAAATATCTGAATTCTGCCTCTTAATAACAGCACATTGAAATTATATGATCAGCGAAAATAGATCCTTTGATTATTCCTTATCAATAAAAAGACACATGTCATGTCTATGTCAACTTTGTGGATAAGGGGTTTTTGACGAAGGTAGGTATTGAGGGAAACTAAAAGTCTTTGCAAAGATGGAGACGTAAATGTCAGAACCCTGTGAAAGATTCAAGAAAAGATCAACCAGCGAGAATATTCCTTGACAGATTTTTTAACATAAAAGGACGTCCATCGAAGAATCAGAGAAAATAAGATTTTAATTCGTCAGATTTAGTCTCTTTCTAAGTTATTATATATTAAAAATTAAAGCAAAAAAAATTAACATGTGATCAACAAAATGAATATGTATGTTAAAAATATAAACTAGAATGAAAAAGTTTCTTTATAATCACCATGTCACACATATACAGGGTGTCCTAGACCACCTGTACACCCCATTTCTTTCAAAAACTAAGCATTTTAGAGAGAAAAACGTTTTGAACAAAAATTGTATGGTTTTGAGGGGAACATAAGGTGGTGTCATTGGTTTGACCTTGGATAGCATCGTTAAGGTCAAGTCAAGGACACCTTTAATTTCTTAAATGGAATCCCCTATTTTTATTGCATATTCTTATAGCTTATCCCGAGAGCTTTCCAAAACACTATAATAAAGTATTTATTCATTAACTACTTTTTGAGTTATTTTATATTTTAATCTGACATATTTTGATATAAAAAATAAAATATCTCGTAAAATATTTAGTTCTCGATAATCTTACCGTAATACTTTTATGTACAGAATAATAACACAAATCAATCAGTGTAAAGAAAAAACCAAATAATTGTTTAAAAAAATACATTATAAATAATTACATACTTTTTCTTAAAAACAATTATTTTTTTTACACTAATTGATTTGTCTCATTATTCTATACATAAAAGTATTACGGTAAGATTATCAAAAACTAAATATTTTACGAGATATTTTAATTTTTATATCAAAATATGTCAGATTAAAATATAAAAAAACTCAAAAAGTATTTAATAAAAAAATACTTTATTATAGTATTTTGGAAAGCTCTCGGGATAAGCAATAAGAATATGCAATAAAAAATAGGGAATTCCATTTAAGAAATTAAAGGTGTCCTTGACTTGACCTTAACGATGCCATCCAAGGTCAAACCAATGACACCATCTTATGTTCCCCTCAAAACCATACAATTTTTGTTCAAAACGTTTTTCTCTAAAATGCTTAATTTTTGAAAGAAAAGAGGTGTACGGGTGGTCAAGGACATTCTGTATATATGTATATGTATATGTGTATATATATGTATATATATACCCAGATAGCCAAGTCTGTTCGAACAGATTTTGCCAAACGTCTGCTACAAATTTTTGTCAGCAGAAAGATTCCAGATTGTATACAAAGTCTGTTATATCAAATAATAATAGCAGAATGTCAGCAGAAATGTTACAAAACGTGCTGACATAATTTGACAGCAGATCAGTAGCAGAAACCGAGCAGGATTTGCATAGAATTATTATAGCAGATAGCCAGCAAAAACAGAGCAGAATCTGCACAACGCAATTTGATGTCAAATTGATAGCAGAAATCAAGCAGGATCTGCGCGCCCGCAATCTTTTTTTATCAAAATATGTCAGATTAAAATATAAAATAATTCAAAAAGTACTTAATGAAAAAATACTTTATTATAGTGTTTTGAAAAGCTCTCGAGATAAGCTACAAGAATATGCAATAAAAAGTAGGCAGTTCCATTTAAAAAATTAAAGGTGACCTTCACGTGACCTTAACAATGCCATCCAAGTTCAAACCAATGACACCATCTTATGTTCCCCTCAAAACCATACAATTTTTGTTCAAAACATTTTTCTCTAAAATGCTTAGTTTTTGAAAGAAAAGGGGTGTACGGGTGGTCTGGGACACCCTGTATAATAGCAGAAGCAATATCCAGAAAAATTTTGATGATCATAACTTTAATAGAGATAAAGCAATATTCCAACATAAATATATTAATATGCCGATATGGAGTTCCTCTTTAAATAATTGAACCTGAGCTTGTTCCACGCAGTGAGATAATTACTAGCATGTTCCTTTATTATAGCATGTAATTAACGAATTAAAAGCAAAAAATATACAGAATTAAAACATTCAATAAAGAATAAGTTCGTGAATACACAATCAAAAAAAATCTGCATATAATAAATTATACAATTTTTAAGCATAAATATAGATTACCCCTGTTTTGCAGATATTTTCCGTACTTTTATATATATTAATTTTCAATGAA